GAAATAATTGTAAATTTGTTCCGTCTACACTAACTCAGTTGAGTTAGGAAGCAGGCAGCTCCGATCCTCCCGGCTAAAGGTGACATAGCAGAGAGACGGAAATACTCGAGATATAGACAATCCAAACGAAGGATCCAAACTCTCATCTTTTGTGCTTAACGGTCAACAGCTTGTTGTGGGTAATCATTTCACCACAGACACCAGCTGAGGTAGACGAGAAGGAACACGGGAGGACAAAAAGGGAATTGTAGACGTAGCCTACTACACTCTCATTGAAATTATTTAGATCATTTTGGAGGCGGGCTGCCTCGACCCTGCCAGTCAGAGCCAACCCGAGCTGAGAGGTTTTTAGTTTTAGTAAGAGTTTTACGGCACTTGCAACACAATAAGGTCATATAAGCGCCAAAGATTAGAGGATCTACAAGAGAGTAAAAAACAAAAACGAAGGAGGGGAGATAGAGACGATAGGTTTTTCATAGGAAAGAAGGAGAAAACCACACCAGCGCACCCGCCAACCATCCACGGGCTGAGAGGGATACAACGTCCAGGCTAAAAGATGGAGATATTAATTGGTAATAATTCTTCCAACTGGAGAATCAAATTCATTATTGAATGCCACATTGCCGAAGCACCTAACTGTTCCACCACAGACATCGGTGAGGTAGGAGAAAGGAGTAGAATTAATCAGGTTCGATTTTTAAAAAATAAACAAAACAAAATAAAAACGAAACTAACACAGCAAAAATGGTTCATTTATTAATGAACTGCAAAAATGAAATACATTCATTATCAATTAGAAAAAAGGTTGTTCGGAAATCGCCAGTACATTTGGTAGTGTAAAGTTATGGAATAATTTATTTTTAGCTCATCCTAATCCACCGATGGCCCTTTCAAAGGTTTTTTTTTTCCAAAGGCTCTCAAACCAATCCTGGTTGTGGCAGACCGTAGGGAAACTTGACACCACTCACTTCGCCTGACCTGTTACGTACCTCATAACGCATCCACCAGATCGCGTTTCCTCTCTCTCTCTCTCTCTCTCTCTCTCTCTCTCTCTCTCTCTCTCTCTCTCTCACTCACTCACTCCCCCACAAACACAAACACACACACACACACACACACACACACACACAAGAACACACACACACACACAAGGCACACACATAAACACACATGCACGCATACGCACATAAACACACACACACACACACACACACACACACACACACACACACACACACACAGACACACGCACTTACACTAAGCACATGCACTAAGAGTGTCGTAGAAAGACAGAGAAAAGCAGAAAAAAGAGTTAAAGTTAAAGACAGGCTTCCTCGCTTGAAAAAAAATGGGTTTATAATTATGAGGCGACAACTCCAAACACATGGACAGTGCTTCAACGAAAGGTCACATTCTCTCCCTTTCTAAAAAAGCACTTAGAAAAATTATTTCTATCAAACTGAGTTTACTACAGACTCTAATTCTCTTTTGATCTATTACGTTATAAACTGAAGGCTAAAACTTAACTCTTCCTGACATTCTGTTTCACAATATAAAACAGACAAACGTTACGAGAAAGACGTTAAAAAGAAGAGGCAGAAACGAAAATAAAGTTAAAGATGGCAGTCTACAATTTCTGCGTTTCGTACTTCAAACTCGCTTAACTTAGACCATTCAAAATATAAGATTACTGGTATCCAGTCCAAGGAATAATTTACTATTAAAATCATAAATTTGAAAAAAAGCACATAGCAACTCTGTGCTTCTCATTTAAGAACAGACATCTTCAAATAACACAACTTACATAGAAATTACAAGCCATTCGTAATCACTATCCGTATACTCGGGTCAAAATTTCTTGGATATCTGTTTGCCTGGATAAGTAGATGCCATATCAGGTAATAACGTGGCAAGAACATTTCTAGGCAAACAACATTATTTCTCGAAGTAGGCTATATATCAACCTGCCCTTAAGGCATAATAATCAATCAGTCATGTATATATATATTCCTGCTTCCAGTACCCTGGTATTTTTGACAAGGTATCCAAGGCACATCTGAGCCCGGTAGAACACGTGTTAAAACTTGTGCACGGTTGGAACAAACCATAACAAGTAACTGCCTGGTAATCCAGAGCTGTGTTGGATCTGGAGACCAATGATGCAACATTTATGTCATCAAACTCCGAGACACTCACGAGTCAGCACATTTGTAGTTGCTGAGATGGCTACTGTAGGTTGTGCTCGTACTGCTATTTCCGATACTGCTGATGTGGTTGTTGTTGCTGCTGCTGCTGTTGTTGCTGCTGCTACCACAACTGGTGCTGCTGCTGTTGTTATTGTTGTTGTTACTGCTGTTATTGTTGTAGACGTCTCCAGGGTTGATGACACTGTAGCACGCCAGATCAGCAGGCCTGTCCAGACGGCGGCTACTCCCAGAGAAAGATCTACTGGCATAAGGCGCGACCGGCATCACAGCGTTGGGGTTCACGTAGTCGGCGGCGCCTCCATCACTGTGCATGAAATAGTTCCCGTTGCTGGAGTCTTGCAGAGACTGGTAGTAGTGATAGTAAGCACTGTCCAAAGAGTACATTCCGCCATAAGGGCTGAATTCTGCTGCTATCCCCGGTCCGAGGCCTCGGTCTGAAGACGTGAGCCGCGCAGACGTGACAGACGGCTGGTGGACGAAGGGGTCGCTAGAGGGCATCACCATACTACTTCCACCAGTGGAGAACATCCGGTTGGCTGAAATGTCACCGTTTGTGAACATGTGGGAGAGGTCATTGCTCGGGTATGCATGGCTAGGAGCCTTCATCTCCTCGAACATCTCTGTGGGAGAAAAAGGCAGCGAGGTTTAGAAGTACATTAAGGAAATACCTAGTGTATTCTAAGACTGAAGTGAAGTCTAGATTCCTGCAATGCATAATATGGTAATGCGTTTTGAGTCCAGGCTTTAAGATACAGGAAAAAGATGAGCCGACTGTGATGGCCACATTTCGCTATGAAATGATTAAGTAGTGGGAAGGAAAAAACAACACAATGGTCTCCACATACCTACCCCCCCCCCCCCCCCCACCATTGTCCCCTGGAAGCACCCAAACTTGTAAAACATTAACAAGAGGAGCGCTGGTCAGAAAGAGGAATAAAAATTAAACGAAAAAGACATTAGTCACGTGGATCATAACCATGAAGTTAATAGGCCTAATAATCTCAATCTTACCTGTAATTCTGTACTGAGATGGGATTTTTAAGCTCTGGACCTACGAGAATTAATATTGGAGCGGTTTTTATTACTTTTTAAGTCATTCCTATATGCACTATAATGCCGTTTTACACCCCATTTGACAACACAATGAATCATCTTAAAGCCGGACACCAACTCCTTGATCAGGGCACCCCGCTAAAAGGTGCTATTCCAAAAAGAGAAGTAAAATAGTTCTGACACCACACTGATTTCAACTTGAATCTCTAGCGTGTCTGGTAAATAGCAGGGCCTTGCGTTATAAGAGTGAATTCAAAAACAAGGAGTATCATCCTAACTGACTGTACAGGTTTTACACACTCATTGGCCTGATTGTAAATATTTAAGGTAGTGGGCACCTTTGACACTGCTATTAGAGCCAACCATAGAACAGAGGGACATAGCATCACAGGAGAAAGACAAAGGTACTCGTTGAAGTGAAAGTATAAAACCGTGTCCTTATATCCTATACACATGTATTTACTTGCATATCTAAGGATGTGAGAGGTTGGCCGGTGTCACGCAATGTTCTGTCGTCTTTTTTCGCCTCCACTTTCTGCCCCCACCCCCTACCTCCTTTGCTCCCTCCTCTGGGCTCCTGGCTCTTTCTGCTGCTACTCCCTGGCTCCTTCTTACTTTACTGCTGTCTTTCAGCCACACCCCTGGTCTTAGGGTAGGAAAGATCTCCGCCTAGCCTTCTCGAAAAGGGCGAAAAATCTTAGAGTGTTGGGCACGTTAAAGATCCCTTGGTGGTCCAAAATCGATAAGAGAAGGCTTCGGCCGCCACCCGGTCAAAATTTAAAATTTCCTACCTACTGAAAATGTTTAATATGTCCTGCCCGCTCATATGACCTTAAGCAGTTGCGAGCGTCGTAAAACAGCCCCCCCCCCCCCCCCACACACACAAACAGCCTTACCTTCAGCCACACTAAATTACCGTCATAATGTCGATGTATTTCTTTCAATCTCAAATGAAACGAAACTACCTACTGATCATAACATACCTTTCTTCGCCTCCTTGATAGGTGCAATAGTTACGGGTGGCATGTAGACCATGGCTGTTGTCTGGTTCTCCTCGCCTGTGCCCACGTGAGTCCGCTGACTGGAGGCGCTGGACACCCGGCTGGACTTCAAGCCCTCTGTGACTGAAGACAATTTTCAATTGAACCAATTCGTACAGAACAATTTCTCTGGGGTATTTTTCTCAATGGAAAGACTACTTTTTTTATCTACCTTTTTGTGTTCTTATTTTGGATTTTTGTAGTCTTTGAGGACGCTTCAGGCCCCATAGACACACTATAAGTGACTTCGAAAGTGGAGTAACAGCCCCCATTAGGGACAACATCAGAGCAGGGAAAAGTTCTAGATAGTACAGAAAAATAACCTAGAACCCTACTTGAACTTAATTGCACAACGTTCACCTGGTTGATCAAGTTCGAAGCTGACTGCACAAATGGTACATTCCTTCTATCGATGATTATGTTGAGCCTCAGCCCAAAATAAAGTTACAATCACTAGAACATATCACTAAATTGAACAAATAGATCTAATTTGAGAGATATGAAAAGAAAATGAATACAACAAAGACAAAAGCAATAAAAACCCTCAGAAACCAAACCCCATTATATATCTAAGTCACTGACACACAACTGAAACAATTTCAAAAATTCAAATACCTTGAAGAATATTCACATCAGATGGAAAAAATGGACAGAGAAACTAAAATATGAGTACAAATTGCGAATGCGGTCACCTACCAACTTGCACCTATCTTGTTGCATCAAAATGTCCCAATGGAGACAACTCATCAGATATATTTCCACACCATCCATCTGCTACCAATGCCAAACGTGGACCCTCAACAGAGTGCAGCAAAGTAAAATAATAGCATGCGAAACGAACTGTCTCAGAAACACTTTAAACACAGCGAGAGGAGACAAAGAAACAAAGACATCAGGCAACACGTGGACGTCGAATCGAGCATAAAATACAAAAAGTGGTTTGGACACGGCATGAGAATGGGGTCACAACAGCCAGCCTCGGGGGCCTACAATATGTGATTCGATGGCTTTAAAATTAAAAAAAGATCAGAAAAAGATGGATCGATGGATCCAAAGAGATTCTTCAAAAATACAATATGACGACCTAAAAAGCATCACACCTGGTCCGACAAGTTCATCCCCCCCCCCACACACACACATACACCCCTTCCCATCCCTTCTACATCTTTCGGTATAAGAGGACAGAAAAAGTAACAGTAAAGCAAGCAAAACTGAAAAAATTGAAGCCTTAGCCACAGCATGGGTGCACACCAACAGTTTACATCTAGCTCCAACTTGCCTTGTTTTGAAACCGTTGCAGCAGAATTGTTGTTTTTGGTACCCAGATTGCTTCCAAAGCTAAGGGTCACCATGCCTGACTCAGATGCCAAGTCGATGTGTCCGCTTGTATGGGCGCGGGAGACCAACGGCTGGTCGTCTTGACGTGGTGTCACATTGGTCGGTCCACCGACCTGGATGCTCGGCCTGGGGAGGGATATAGCGATTGCATGTTGAGTTACAGGCGACATGTCAACCTTTTTTCTGCCATGGTCGAAGTTTCAGAAATGATTCCCTTGAAAAATGGTTGAAGAGTGTCATGGCAAGCTCACTTTCTTGCTGTTGTTCTTTCTAAGCTCTGAATCAGTGCGGTTATTTTGGTGTGCTTTCCTTTGACTCAAATAAAAAAAATTTAAAAACCTTCGTCCTTAACATAAATTTAGTTCGGTATCTAAAACGATTAGGCGTTATATTCATATTTCTCCCTCCACCCCCACCCCCACCCCCGTTACCTGGTGCGTTGATACAGTGTAAGTTGTATAAATCTATAACATGGTATAGCTTTATAGTATTTATACAGCATTATAATTGTGCCGTTAGCGTATCAGTGTGATACTTTTAATTCATTCTACGCTTATGTTCAGATGTTAGCATAGTTGGTATTACGCTGGGCTATGAAGTGGATGGTCATGATTCTAAACCTGAACTTCAGTAGTTTCGGGGGGGGGGGGGTACAAGGATTTTCTCCTTCTTGACCAGGTCCCACCTCTCAAAATAACAATATTGAAAAGGGTATCAAACCCCTATTATACCGTGAACCCCTCAACTTCTTTGCGAGTAGTAGACTGGGGAACCCTGATAATTTTTAATACGATTTGCGATGTTAATATCGCCATAACTGCAGCATAAATGTTAGGAGAAAAGAAAAACTCTCTTGGAATAATCAAAACATAGGGCTCACTTTCTTTTCACAAAGCGCAAGGGTTTTCCAAAGGAAGAAAAGTCCATGCCACTTCCTTTCCGGCGAAAGAACTTCTTGTTCGCCATAGTCATCTTCTCCACCTCTCCCTCTCGAGTGTCGATCATAGGACTCGCATTGCTCATGATGTCGATGATCTGAAGGTCACAAAAAGTTGTAGCAAAGATAAAGAGACAATAAGGACAGTGTTTGACTTATGCACCTTTCCTTTTTTTTTCAGAACGATCTATCTCGAAAGACTGTTTCTATTTCCCCTTTTATTCACGAAATAGCTTTAGAAACGGCGCTCAGGGATTTCAATCTTTGTATAAACTGTAAGCAATGATTTTAACTATTGAGCAAACAGAAAGTAATGAGAGACATGAAATTATAACTATATCCTTTTTCTGTCTCAAGCCACCAACGCAGACCCATCCCTTTCCCCCTTACCAAAAGATCAGGGCCCTAGGCTGAGGACAGACTTTCCACAAAAGTTAAGTTTTAGCAAAAGCAATTGCGTTACTTGTAACACAAATAGGTCATATAGTGCCGAAGATAACGGGTGTTATTGGAGAGTAAGAAACAACAGGGAAAAAAGAAGATATAAGGACGATCAATGTATGATAGGTAAGAATGAGCATAGCACACTAGAACACCCCCCAACCACACGCTTCCCAAAAAGTGGAGAGGGCCCAGCAGTTACCTGTGACTGGAACTCCTGAGGAAGGGCTGCGTTGATAATCTTCAAGTAGTCTACGGTCATCTCCAGAATGGAAGCCATGTCTGTCTTCCTCCCACGCACGTACGGCAGTAAAACACGCAACTGGTCACAGCTGTCTTTGATCCGCTCTCTGATCAAACATACCACAATAAAGTAACAACGATGGGGGAGATGAGTACACCGAAGCTTAACCAGATACAACTTTTGTTCTTTCTTCTTTGCTTTCCCCTACTAGATTTCAGGGAGAGTCGGCAGCTGGTTCTTTAACCTCGAGTGCAACTCCATCTTTATGCATTTTTCCAACTTTATAGGACCCCTTGCCACCAAGCAGCCACATTCTGATTTCGGAGGGGCAGCAATGTTTAGAGGATTTGAGAATATTCTATGATTTGACTTAAGTTACTTGCCATTCAATTGGTTAATTGTTTTCCATAAATTTTTACACTAGTCAAAGATATTCAAAAAATTATTTTAATATAAATATTAAATACTTTACTAAAATATAATACATGTAAAGACATTACTGGAACTTCATAAGAGTACATACATACAAATACAGTTTCTTGCATATTCATATTCTTAAACACTTTTCCTTGTCAGAAGATGATCTAACAGCTTGACATAAAGAAGTATGCCAAAAAGATTAACATTTTAAAGTTTGGCCTTTGAGTTTTGTTTGTTGACTGAAGAGGATAACCCTGACTCTGGTAAGGTACCTTCTTTGCTTTTCTTTTGTGGCATGCTCCATGCGGCACCAAGATGGCGTTGAACTACGGTCTGAGGCTGGGCTGTTGAAAGTAGAGTATGTAGATATAGAATGGCTTATCAATCATGTTGTGGAGCTAGAGATAGTAGTGTATTGCGAGTTAACACGAGAGCTGTAGTATTTACCACGAAGGTTAGCGTAAAAACAATAATAAAAAGAAGTGAAAGTTATATAAAACACACAGGAGGCCCCCATGCTCCCCCTTCCTCAAAAAAAGCGATTATGGGAATGGAATATATATATACACTTACTTGGTCTTGTGTAGACAGACAGACAGACAGACAGACAGACAGACAGACAGACAGACAGACAGACAGACAGACAGGCAGGCAGGCAGGCAGGCAGGCAGGCAGGCAGGCAGGCAGGCAGGCAGGCAGGCAGGCAGGCAGGCAGACAGACAGACAGACAGACAGAGCAGGATGCAAGCATGTGCGCTCATGACACCAAAACAATCAACGATTATCTTTATTCTCTCTCGGTAGTCATCACAGGCAGCAAGAGACAGGGCGCCTCACGAGAGACTGTACCTTTCAATACGACCATGCTCCGTGTGAGAGGAAGATTTGTCTGGAACACTTGTATCCACAGACATGGGGCATTTCACGTCAGAAGCTCCGAATTCGGTGCTGTCCATTCCACAACTGGACATGCTGTCACACGTGGATGACCGACTGAAAAGAGCGTCAATGCTAAACATCAGAGGGTGCAGCAACATTAGGCAAGACTCAAAAAAGCGGACTAAAATCCTCTCTTTCAGTACACTTGCCCTATTCATGCGCATGAGGGGTTGGTACGAGAATGGACACTGGTCAAAAAGTGTTAGTTCAGCAGTGTTGGCATCTAAAGAATTCACATTTGCAAAGAAATGCTCCAGCTATCCCAACTCTCTTCCAACATATAACCCCCTCCACCTCCCCCCCCCACCCCCCTAAAAAAGCACATTTAAATTTAATGTTCTTCCTTTAAAAAAACAAAGGCAATACATATGCCGGAAGACTGAAAGCACGTCGCTTCCAAGATGGTTCCTTTTAGACTTTGAAAACAAACTTTCAAATTCAATCATCCATATTACGTGCATAACCAGTCGACGCAAAAACAAAATAATCCCAAAATCGTTTCAACCAATGAAATACTCCAAATTTTGAAAGCGGATGCAACTTTAGCGGGGATCTGAAAGGGGGGGGGGGGTCCTAAAATAGTAAAATAAAGATGACAGTAACACAGCTTTGACTTTCCCATTTTATCAAAGTACCTGCACTCGTTCGTTTTAACAGAAGCAAGGCTGTTGGTTGATTCAGGTGAATTAGGGGCATCTTTCACAAAGTTGGTACCACCTACAAGAAAGAGAATACAGAAAACAGGTCATTAAACAGTTCTATCCCAGTAACATTTGAGCAAATCAAGTTGGAAGCACCTGGCAAACACGCAGAGGATTCGATTCAAATCCAGTTAGGGTCCAAAATTTTTCTCGTCTGTCCTGGCTGTTGGGAGTGGGAGTCTAAGCACTCTAATACACGTCTGTAGTTCTAAATTGTGTCAAGCGAGGAATCAAATTTCATCCGTTCCCAGTCATTTTGTAATCCTAACTTTATCCGTACGGCCGAAACCTTGTAGCTCGTTTACGGGAAAGGGACGGGGTGGGGGTGGGGTGGGGTGGCGATTGTTAATTAGTAACCTCTTTGTTGTTTCTTAGATATAGAACGCAGATTTTTCGCATGCCCTCTTTTCTCACGATAAAGAGACATTGTCATGTTGTTGTAGTTGACGATCCAGCTCAAGATAAAGGGACATAAAATGCACCTTAATCCACCGATCTTCAGTAATGTAGGACGTGAACAACATGTCAACAGATCTTAGAAAAAATAGACGTAAGCTAATGAATACAAAGAAGTGAACGATTGGCATGTTAACACAATAAATACAACGAGTAAAAAAAGAAGTAGACATGGGCGTGAAGCTCACCCTGGTGCCGAGCTGCTGACATCCAGCGAATTTTGTGGTACTTTTGTCGTATGGTTGCCCTCAGAACTGGCCCCATGAGAACTTCATCTACACCAGACAGCTGTAGGGTACCTTGGAGTTGAGAGTGATAAGATTTGAAACTTTTTCGGATTCTCTGGAACCTCGATAAACATCCGTTTTTTACATGACATTTGGAAAGTCAGTAAAATCCTGATATCAGTCTTGAAAACCATCGGACCCCCCCCACTTCCTCTTTAAAACAAATATTTTAACATTTCTAAATTGGATATCACCCGGGACACCCATGATGCAGACTGATTTCATGTTGAGTATAAGGATTATACCTACACTATTGAACATACGGTTAGTTTGAATTTGTATAGGATATTCTTTATGGTTAATAAGGTGGCAACATCAACGCAGAGCTGCAAATTGGAGTTTCTAAATTAGATGGACAAATAAATGCACATACTACGCTTTTCCCCCTTGAAGTTACGTCTGTCTTCAAGGCATTTTGTTGTCTTAAAAAAACAAACGAAAAACAAACAAAACAAAAACAAAAATGAAAACAAAAAACAGTTTTTGGTTATGTCGTACACTGATTCTAATGTTAGTAGTCATCCGTCTCCAATTAAATATGAATGGAGAAAATAGACGCGCCAAACCTTCGGGCCCCAAATGAACCTGAAAAAAGGGGGGGGGGCGAATGAATACACATATTGACAAGCAGACGCTTTTAGTTTTAGTAGAGGTTTTACGACGCTCGCAACAGCTGCATAAGGTCATATGAGCTCCAAGAGGTGGAGGTTAACAGAGAAGTCCTTACAGGGAATTGGGCTTACTCTGCTCACCTCTCTAGCTTCAACAGCACAAGGTCTGCTTCAACTATCAAGGCACCCCGATGTAGCAGGTCACAAGAGAGTGACAAACATGCAAAAAAATAGAGGAGAAAATGAAGGTAGTTAGGATGAGGAAAGAAAAGGCAGCAGTTCCCTGTTGCAATTCGTGCAGTTATGAGCATGCATGATATTGATGAATCAGCCCATTTACAATTCTACTGTACAACAGAACATGGTAATGTCCCCCCACCCCCCCACCCCTTTTGGGAATGGCCTAAAGACACTTCAGTCAGTAGCATCGCCCCGGGGGGGTTACACAGAAGCTTTCAACCTGAGGCCAAATGCTGACGTAGTTAAGAGTAACCCAGGAATTTCAGGCAAAAGTTCAGATACAGCAATGAGGAGAAAGTGTTTACCTTCGGGTTGGTTTTCCGTCACGGCTATGACGTAAGCACCTTTGTTTCTCTTACTTGAGTATCTGACAAAGGTGAGACGAAAGAAAAAGTAGAAAACAGTAAGTTATTAAAAGTATAAAAAATATCACACAACCAAAGAATTCTCAGCCTACTGGACATGGGCAAACACAGGCTTACAAGGATTTTAAAAAAGAAATTCACATGATACAGAATAGCACACCACACATAAACACGCACACGCACACACACACGCACGCACACACACACACACACACACACACACACACACACACACACGTGCACACCCAACTATGTACGCTCAAAATGCAAACATACGTACCCCCCTCTCTCTCTCTGTCTCATTCTCTCTCTCTCTCTCTCTCTCACCTAATAGAAGTAATCACTCCGAGCACTTCGTCAGTCGTGGTGCTAGGCAGCTGTACCCAGATCAGCTGGAAAGCCTCAGCGTCACACACATCCAGGGCGGCTCGGAACGCCACCACGCGGACACAGGGCACCGGCAAGGCCTAATGGAATGTGTCGAATTAAGAGAAGATTGTAGTTATAGAAAGAGTTTGTTTTGTCTTGTTTTGTTTTGTTAGTTTTTGGGTTATTTTTTCTAGGGAGGGGGAGATTGGTTGTTTTGGGAGTTTGTTTTGCTTCGTTTTGTTTTTCTGTTGTTGTTGGGTTTTTTTTGTTTTTTTTTGGTAAGCATTTTACGGCATTTGCAGCACAATTGTGTCATATAAGAGCCAAAGATTAGAGGTGTTACAAGTTAAGAGAGTAGCAAATACACAAAAAATAAAATGAGATCAGGACGATAGATGTCCGATAGGAAAAAAGGAGCAAACCGTAGACGGTCAGAGTTAGTATAAGAACGTATAGAGCTAACCACACCACAGCACCCGCCGCCCCCCAGCCGAGAGAAGCAGATCAACGCAACAACAATTATTTAGTGCAGTGGAAAAGTTTTGTTATAATAAAAGTTTTACAGCACTTGCAACACAAATAGGTTATACAAGTGCCGAAGATTGCAGGTGTTACTACAGAGTAACATGCACAGAAAAGAATTGTTTAAATAAGAGTTTTACGGCACTAACAACACAATAAGGTCATATAGTGCCGAAGATTACAGGTGTTACAAGAGAGTAACAAACACAAAAAGAAGGAGGGGAGGTAAAGACGATAGATGTTTGATAGGACAGAAGAAGCAAACCACACCAGAGCACCCGCCAACCACCTACGAAACAGGATCTACCAGTGGCGCCACCCAACAAGCCG